AAGTTGATTGGTTCAGAGTTTAGATTTCAGAGCAGGTGGGCAGGTGCTCAGCCTTGCAAGATCCCACGAAGCGGTTCAGGGTCTCGGGTTTGCGCAGTAGTCCAACGCAGTCAACGGCGATGACGTGGGAGGGTTGCACACTTCTGCGTCTTCTCTCGGCAGGTCTACTCCACCTTGACCTTAGGTCCGGCTCTTTTCTTGAACAGCCGCAACTCATCTCAACTCTCTAGCCTTGCGCCGATGCGTGCATAAGCGGGTCGCGACCTCCGACTCGAAGCCCTCCACAGCTACACAGAAATCCGAGTCGAGTGTGAAAACGGCAACTTCGTCAGCTCTTCCGACCCGACAGCTCGAAAGCATTCGATAAGCCCCGAAGGCTGCCGAGGAGGCAGAGGCCATTCGCCGAGTGCTGCGGGGAAGCCCAACGCCGCGGGTTTTGAGGACTGGATCTAGAACTCAGAGTGTAGAAGCCCAAACTCGTTCTGTGTGGGGGTGTGGAAGCGTTGAACAGAGACCCCAAAGGTATCAGGGTGACCACGAAACCCAGCGGTGTGTTGCGGCAGGGAACAGGTCGAGCTCGATGCCTGCGGGCAAGCCCGAAAAGCCGGTGACACGGTTGACATTGAAAGTGTGCTTCAGCACTGAGGGCGGGCGGCCCCTTGCGAACCATCGACGACGACCTGAACCTGCTCCAGGTCTTCCAGGCTCTGCTTGTGGGATGCCTTGTTCGATGCAGCCCTTTGATTTCGATATTTCGGACCCAGGGAGGGGTTTTCGGCTTGTGCGACAATAAAATTAGTCTTCAGCACTGAAGCTCTGCTGCCTTTGCGGTGAGTGAAGATCGGTGTTCCGCTTCTGCAGTTGGCGCTCACAGACTTCAAGCGTCCGAGCCTGAGTGAGTGCAGGGGTTTTAGATTTTGGAGTTGGGAGGTTGTCGTTGTCGGTGCCGCTGCGGAGCCCCGTTTCTTGGAACTTCGGTTTGTGGTCGTTGCTGTCATTGCCGCCTCCCCGTTGAGCAGAGACTGTAGCTGTAGGAGCTTGAATCGTAGAACGCTAGTCGCTGAAGTGGAGCCCCGCAGAATCCTAGAGTGGGCCTGCCACAAAATAGGAGCCTCGACCAGGAACGGTTTCGCGGTACCTTGGTGTCTTACAAACTCCCAATCCTCTTCTGAAAGAGCCGGCAAGCTTGCAGGCTCACCTATTTTGGAGGGTCCTCAATACTTGCAGTGCGCCCCTTCTCAGCAACAGGTCGTCAAGATAAGAATTCAACCGGAGGTTTTAGCCAGACCCTTGCCAACTCTTGCATCGCCCTGTGCACCAAGGACCAGCATGCTGACCCTGTGCAAGGTAGGGTTCCGAGGGTTTCGGATCGCTCTCCCGCCTCACACCGCTGGATGCCTAGCGAGTTCCTCGATTCATGCAAGCATCCATATTCGCGCGCTACAAGTAGGAAACGTCGCTCTGACCCTCGCCCCAAATACACGGTCAAAGGTCTCCCGAGTGTTTCTAACCAGTGGATTCGCTGGAGAGAGCCTCCGGGACGGAAATGTAGTAGACCCGCCCCAGGAAGCAGTTTCCACCTTTCAGAAAATTCCAAATCCAACATGAACCGCAGACTGTGAACTCTGAACTCTGCGCTGACCTCGTTGACCAGGGTGCCACGGCAAAGTCTGGCGAGCCGTTCCCGGGCTCTCGTGCCGATATCGTCATGTATCTAGAAGCCTCTGGAGGGTCCCAATACATGCTGAGGAGTTTCGCGCAAACCCCAACAGCATTGACATAAACTCGAAGTGGCGGAGGAACCGGACATGGCGATGCTTCCAGCTGTTGGTGTAGCAGGCAGCGGGGACAACAGTGGGTTGGCCAAGGTCCTTAAGCAGGCCCGCAGGCCCGTAGGCCCGTAGCAGAGCCGTGAGCCCGCGGCACCCGCAGAGCCAGTAGAGAGTCTGTTAGAGCCCGGAGCCCGAACAAGCTGTAGGACGCAAAGGCCAAGGCCAGCTTTAGGACCCTTTCCAGTGGGTCTGGTTTGCAGTTTGCATGTTCGATTGTGGAGTTATTTGGAAGCATACTTTCAGAATGAGCAAAGCTGTTTCCGCAGCAACGTTTTTGTTCTCTGTTCTCCGTTTCGGAGAGACATAGTTCGGTTCCTGGTGGGGTGGAAGCTCTGAATCCTAGAGTTTGTTTGCCGTTGGTTGGTGGAGTGAAAGCAGGCATGGTTTGCAGTGTAACGTTGTCACATTTTCCTGACGAGTTTTTATCACCTCCAAAGCAAAACGATGTGCTCCTCCGAAAGAAGTGTTGTGTTTGCCGCGAGGAGGAGTGAAGCGACCGCTGGTCCATGTATCTGCGGCTCCAGGAAAAGATTCGGTGCATTATCTTCCTTGCAGTGTGGTGACATACAGTGTTGTGTATTGCCCGTGCTATCGGTATAAAGTGATTGCATTCAGGCCAGCCATAAAATTATGCAAGACCAATAGGCCGCTGGGAATTGCTGCCTGTGTTGGCTATTGAATCTGTGTGCCAATGTGTCGCGCCCCAGCATACATCACGGACGCGAATATGCAATGTAGGGGCATATCGGAGGGTAGACTGCTTGAATGCATCACATAACAGGGAACTTTGTTGAATATACGCTACAAGCACTGGGCATGAACCCTGAACCCCAAAGCCTAACGCTTGCGACCGCAAGCTTCGTATTTCAATCCTCTCCGCGAGTTTTTTGGTTCAAATTGGATTCGTCTGTTCTTTGCTTGCTGGAGAAGCCAACGAGGTGGGCCCTACAGCCCTCTGATGCCACATCCTGCCATTCCAAACTAGGAACTTGGCAGAATCCGAACCTGAAGCGGCCACAGAGCCCAAACAACACATCTAGATCTTACACTGTTTCCTGATGCCAACTCTCCCTGATTCGAAGACCAACTCCAGCTTAGGAAAATGATTGGGATCCAGGCTTGAGCTCGGAAGTCCGTGGCAAAGAAACTCGCAGCAAGCGATTTTCAGAAGGTGTTTGGTAGGGATCCCTAGAAAACTTGGTGCTCCGTGCTTAGGCAAGTGCAGTCCCGGGACTTGCGATGGAACGCTATAGTGTAGTGTATGTACACTCTGCTTGCCCGTTGCTGCGCACTTTACTACGCGGTGTGTGCTACAGTGTTTTGCCTTGCTGGGCGACGCCTGCCCCCCCACCTTGAGGCCCTTTCCCACTAGCGGATGCAAAACAAGTTGCACACTGCAAAACGGCCTGCCCTTGCAGAGGTGGCCCACGGTGATGGCTGGAGTCTGCCCCTGCTTTTGCTGTGCTGGGGACTGGAGGGCTCTTCTGATTAGGACTTTTTAGGTTAAGGTTCAGGTCCTGGTTTGGTGTGCGATCATGGGAGAGAAGGTGAAAACCGGATCTTGACTTTGTTCTTGTTACGAACCGTGGAATTCGCCGGGGCTCATTGTAGGAGCCATGTCCACGAGCACACCAGCCCGTAGAATTGTAAACCAGATGATCTGAGATTCCTGCAGCTGGCTTGGGTGACTCGCCGCTTCTTTCCAGGCTTGGCTCAAATTCGACATATCCATCCCTGCAATCCCAGAAGTGCTCCGATCAAAGAGTGCCCAGCACAACAGCCACGGACAGTCATCCCGGCTCTTTTCTGTTGAAGCTGCGGAGAGAGCAGCAGCTCTTCAAGGCGGACGTCATGTCATGACATATCTTCTACCGGTATTGCCGTTGTTGTTGTCGTTGTCTCGGTTGTTGTGACAGAAACGGGTGTCAGGTCGTCATGGTCGTATGAAGAGCAGTACTGGCAAGTGGTAGTAGTAGTCGTCGTCGGTCGTGGTCGTGGTCGCAGTCGTAGCCACAGTCGCAGTCCCAGTGCTGGTCATAGTCCTAGTCCTAGTCCGCGTCACTCGTAGTCCTAGTCATAGTAGCAGGCGTAGGCCGCACGTGTGGTCACAGTCGGAGTCGAAGTCATGACGTGATGGTTGTGGCGACCGTCCCAGTCGCGGTTGCAGAAGTGGTCCATGAGAAGTAGGAGAAGCAGAAGGAGGAGTAGCAGACGGCTAGCAGCAGCAGAAATAGAACGTATCATAACGTATCAATATGGGTCTTTCTATAACTAGGGGACCCTAATATGGTACCTAAATAGTAGGATCCTGCTTACAAGGACCCCAAAATAAGGTACTCCCCCAAGTCTCGGAAACCCCGATATATCCGGTCAGGCGATGGCTGCGGTTGCTCTGGCCCCGCCCATTGCTGTCACGTCGGTGTCGGGGGTGCGGGGCCACAGCTGGAGTGAAGACTTGGGTCGAAGATGCCAGGGCTGAGGCTCAGGGGGTGTAGGCTTTAGAATTTGGGTTCAGGATTGATGAGAAGCTATTCGACATCTATGTTCCCAATCTTATCTCCTATGAAGCCATCTAACTCTACGTCCTTTCCCATGCTCTTGTTAGGATTGTAGGTGGTCCCGCAGAGCAGTGTTTGCAGCATATTGGCATGGGCCATATGCGAACCTGGAGCGTATGGGCTCAAGGAGGGCTCACAAAGATCTACTTTAGAGCTTACTCGCCCTTCTGGGATTGTCTCCATGCAAGGATATTTGCATAAACATGGCCTAAGAGCGCACGAGGTTTTTTTGCTACACAAATACTGCATGCCATATTGTACCTTCATATGATGTTGTGTTGTGTTGTATTATAATGTATTATATCTACATGGCATTGCATAAATTACGTGCTCCACTCTGTTACCTAAGGGTTCAGTTAAAGGCCCAGGGCATAAATTCGACGAGCTCACACACCGCCCCCAGTCCGAAGAAGTCGGCAGAGCCTTCCGAGAAGCCTTCTGCCTCGGGGAGGTTGGGTTTGGGATGTGCTCTCCTTTAAGCTTGTTTTCGAGAGGTCACACGCCCAAACTTCAATGGCTCCATAGCAGACGTAGTTCGAGTTTGGGGCTGAAGGGCTACTCTCCGGAGGACCCGAAATATCGTGACCCAACCTCCCTCACTTCCGCAGCCATGGACCAGAGCAGCACAGCGCCTCCGGCCCTGGACGCAGCAGAGCTCCGTGCTGTGTGCCAGACCTGTACAGTCAAGGAGCTCAAGAAACTCCTCACGCCTCTTGGCTTAGGGTTTAGGGTTTAGGGTCTGGGGTTTAGGGTTTAGTGTCTGGGGTTTAGGGTTTAGTGTCTGGGGTTTAGGGTTTAGGGTAGAGCTCAAGAAACTCCTCACGCCTCTTGGCTTTGCGAGTTCACAGGACCGGGAAGAATAGCAAGAACACGAAGGTTCGAGCCTTCGAGGTTTGCAGAGAGGCTTTCGGGTACTGTGTACGGGCACCATGTGATGATTCATAGGACTTGGCAACGTTGCTTCCAGATGCTGCTGGCCCCATAATCATGCCATAGTTGGAATAAATGTATGTGTGTATGATATATGCCTGCATGCATGCATGGAGCAAGCTCGAGCTGTCCTTTGCAGCTTCGAGCTACGAGGAATCTGGCAGTTGATCTCAGCGGCTACGTGGAGAAGTCTGAGCTGGTGGATGCCGCAGTCAGACGCCTGGACAGCGACGGGTGGCTCTGCGGCACCAGTCCCGCTGCTTGTGGGACCTGCTTGGAACATCAGCTTAGGGGACCTAGAACTAGGTGAGAGGGATGTCTAGTTCCAGGCGTATCCTGCCTGCCACGTCGCCTAGGAGTTTCTCGTTCTCGGGTCATAGCTTCGGGGGTTCTTGTGCTCCCAGGAAGGCAAAGCTTCAGCTCTTCAGCTACTGCCGAATCTGCTGCAATTGGTGCTTGGACGACGATGTTTGGCCACTCACCTGCGGACACCTCGCGTGCTTCCAGTGCTTGGGCATGTACCTTGAGAGCCAGATCCAGGCCATGAAGTCTTCATTGAAGTACAACCTTCCCTGCATTTACGCGCCTGCTTGTTCCCACGAGATGAGATTCCAGGATGCAGCGTCCATGAGTGCAGCCCTGCGCAACCTTTGGAAGGATCTTCAACAGCGCGAGCGCCTCATCCGCGACGCCAAGTACGAGGTGCTGGAGTGTCCCCAACCGGGCTGCGTCGGAGTGGCCTACAAAGAAAGGGGCCGGCGAACTGCCATGTGCTTCATGTGCGAGCACACCTGGGAAGCGAATGCCGACGGCACAGACGATGATGGAAAGAAGCCAAACTTCGATGGAACCCGGGTCCGCAAGTGTCCGAAGTGCCAGGCCCCTATCGAGAAGAATGGTGGTTGCAACCACATGCACTGCACTCGTTGTGGCCGTCACTTCGATTGGACCGCCAGCCAGTCGGCAGGAGATCCCAACGCAGCTCCTTCAGAAGCGCCCTTCGGAAACTTCAATGCCAACAACCTCTGGGGAGACGCGGCCGCTACTTTTCAGCAATTCTTCCCCAACATGCCGAGGCCCGCCGGCCATGCTGGGGCCCATGCCCAGGCCCATGCCCAGGCCCATGCAGCCCATCGTGCCACTCACCAGGCAGCTCATGCCCAGGCCCAGGCCGGGGCGGGAGCAGCTAGGCAGAGAAGTTTTCTACCGTTCTACTGCAGTTGACCGAGTTCTTGTGTTCGTGTGCTGCGCCCACATACCGCTCTTTGAGGCCGCAGATCCAGAAAATCTCTTCAACCACTTCGGCAACCTCCTGGGCGCAAACGCACCGGGCTTCCAACACGTCATGGGAAATGTGGCGCAGGCTGCCGGCGGCTTCATGCAGCAAGCTGCACAGATGCGGCAGGCTCAAGAGGCCCATGAGGCGGCTCAGCAGGCCCATCCAAGGAATCAGCAAGCGGCGGCCGAGCAAGCCCAGAGAGTGCATCAAGCTGCTCATCAGGCAAGGGCACCGCAGTCACATTTTGTTTGTACCTCCGGCATTTCGGCGTAGTGTCGCGTCATGCCATCAGGCATCTGGCAATGGCAATGGTGCAGCGCCTTTCGGCGCTGGCTTCGCTCCAACACAGGCATCCAGTGGCGGTACAGGACAGCCCGAGTGTGCCGTGATGTGAGCAAAAAGGCTGCCGGATCCCTTGCGTTGCACGCAACACCGAGCCTTGTTTAAGCTCCGGATCTTCTTGAGAACACGGCCAAGGTATTGAGCTTGCTGGAAGAGCAAGAGAATCAGTTGCGATGCGCTGCGCTCCAGCGGCTGAACGAGGCTTTGTGAGATCAGTTCGTGAGAAACTTTCATGCTTCGAGCCACCTCAGTGGATCTCAGTGGGCAGGTGGTGGATCAGTTCTGGCATGAGATTGCCGATTACTTGAACGATATTGAGACGCTGTATGAGGACTGGCAAGAGTTCGTCTTCTTCCTCGGGTTGCCCCAAACATCCTAGATTCCTCAGCCCCACTCACCCAAGACACGACACCCAAACCCCGAAACAGGTGCAGAACTGGGTTCCAGTGACTCCGTTATTAGGCAGCCGGCTCTCGAACAACCCATGCCTGCTTCTCCGGCTGCTGGATCCTGAAAGCTTCAAGCCCGGAGCTACGACGGGGCCTTTTCATTGTAGTAATCGCTTTAGAAAAACATAGACTGTTGTAATATAATAGAAGTACGTGGAATGTAACTGAGTATAATATGAGGCGATTGCAGCCGAGTCTTGAAAGCCCCCTCAGACTTCTCTGTTCTCTTCAAGACAAATCAACACTCTGCCCTGGCTCCCTGAACCCTTGCCTTTGGTTAGTAGGGAGTGGAGGAATGGGGGACAACTATTTAGGGGCTGCGCCCAGGTGCGGGCAGCGCGAGCTGTTGTCAGAAACCCGCGGTATATAGATAAGTGCAACGTAGGCCCAAAGTGCGCAACTTGTGGGTGATCGTAGGCTCTCAGCCCCCGTCGGCCCTGCATGTAGCCCGCACCCCCCGTCCGCCGGACCCCGCTGATGCTCATGATGCGCGCCCTTTGGCGGCTTCCGCAACCCACTCAAAAACTTGGGAGTTATGACTTCGCGCCCACGTCGCGCCGCCGGCGCCGGTTGCGGGCGCCCGAGGGCTCATGATGCTCGCCGGCTCGCCTCCTGGGGTCGTCCACGGCGGCCCCGAAACCCGCCACACCGCGGGGAATGGCTGCAAAACGCGTGCGCGTTCCGAGACGCCTTCGGGCCAGGCCCCGCGCGGCCCGAGGGAGAAACGAGGGTCCGATGATGCGGGGTCCGGGGCGGGTCGGCGGCACTGTCGGTCGTGGCTTCTGCTTCGCAGACGAAGCTCATTCGTCTGAGCCATAGCTCAGTCCATACAGGGCAGCGAAGCGCTGCCCGATTTAAGAGCCTCCGGCTCAAGCCGCCGACCCCGTGGGCGACAGACCAGAAGCCGAATGCACTTGTACAGGCAAAGTCGTTTGGTGTCCGCGAGGCCCGAAGGTTTAGTTCTATAAGGAGACGCCAAGATAAGCAGGGGCAGCACGAGTTCAACCTGGTTTCCCCGCATGCTACCTCTGTCGAAGGCCGCTGAGCCTTAAACCCTAAAGGAACAAGAAAGACACATTCTTGGCGACGAGCTCAAAAAACGGGCGCCAGTTTTTGTGCGCCAGTTTTGAGCCGCTACTCGCAGTCACAGTGGTCCTAAACCCTCAAGCCGACAAGCTTCACTGGTGCGCTTCTAAGATTGTGAGACTAAACGGGAACCTTCAAGTTGACAAGCTTCGCTGGTGCGCTTCTAAGATTGTGAGACAAAACGGCGGGAAGAGGCGGAAGCACGCGAGGCTGCGCGACGATCACGCGAAGTAGGAACAAGGAGCACTTTGGAGCCGAGATGCCAAGGTGGAAGAGGAAGAAGGGGGCAAGGCGGGTGGGGGGAGGGGAGGGGGGGGAGGGGGGAGGGGGGAGGCAGAGGGGGGGAGTCTCCTACAGTGAACTGATTTGAACCCAGGGCTGTGGTGTGATGCTTTTGGGGGCTTGGGTGCTGCTTGCAAACAGCCATGGGGAACCCCCCCCCCCCTAGGATGCGCCCGGTTTGTGGGATTTCGGTGTGAGGAGGGAAAAAGGGAGGTTAACACCTCCCAGCCCATCGAAACCCATCCAACACGCCGCCAGGGTCGGCGGACAACTGCTATTACTACCATTCTTCCATTCCTTACTGACCAAAGGTAAGAACCCCAGACCCTCAACCCTTGCTGTAACCATCCCAGAGTTGCACTCCAAAACCTACAGAGAGTTTGCTGAACACATGCGTCTCAACATAGAACCCACATAAAGGGATCCTGCCATTGAGACGATTACGAGTAGTACTTAAAATAGGGTTTCTTAGGGTTCTTTGATTTGTTTCATAGCATATATAATCTCCCCCTCGACGACCGAAGCCCTAAACCTACCGGAAGAGGGTTAGTACAGGGGCCGAAATAACTACCAATACCGTTTTAGGATTCTTGAATATAAGCAGAGTATAGTATGCCCCAAAACCCTATTCTAATTTGACGGCACCGTCACACACATCCTAATATGACGTTCATATAGTATACTAAATAGCAGGACCCTTATTGTAAGGACCCCAATATACGGTACCCCTAATTTTCGGAAACTTCCATGTTACATCTCCGCTCTAGGACCCTGCCTTTCCTGGGCGCGAGATGGCCGCGCTGGTGGCCTCCAAGGTCTTCTACCACTTAGAGGAGTACCGACCTCGGCCAGATGGGGACCCTATAATTAGGATCCTACTATTTTGGGTGCTATATACGGGGCCCCTATTTTCGGAAACTCCTACATACCTCGGCCAGAGTGTATAGGGTTTAGAGTTTAGGGTTTAGGGTTACTTAGAGGAGTAGACCTCGGCTAGAGTGTATAGGGTTTAGGGTTTAGGGTTACTCAGAGGAGTAGACCTCGGCCAGAGTGTAGGGTTTGGGTCTACTCAGAGGAGTATGGGCATCTGCGCTGGGGTGTTAAGGAGTTTATGTGTTTTCGGATATAGGTTTGGGGGTCTTAGGTTTTCCGGGCTTCCTCGATTGTCCTGGCGCATGGTAGTTTGGGGTATCGGGTTTCAGGCTCGCGGTCGCACCACGGGGCATTTCTTCAGCGTCAGGCTGAGGTGTCGGTTCATTTCACAGCTTTTTTAGAACTGTAGAGATAGGGCTGGCGGACGCGTTCAGGGGTTGGAGACAGTAGGTACTGGGCGCAGAAATGAAGGAATGCCGCTGTTCCGCTACAGTCGAGTTGCTTCCAGGTATGACGACGCCTTGCGTCTGGCGTTGGGTGCAGGCCGGGCTTCCGAATTGCGGAGCTCGTTCTTGGTTCCTCAACAGCCTAAACCCTAAGCCCTAAGCCCTAGGCCCTAAACCCTACCCCTAAGCCCTAGGCCCTAAATCCTAAACCCTAAACCGATTGAAGCCCGACGCTCAAGGCGACCTGTGAAGCCTTTGAAGGTCCGAAAGCTCTGAGGGGTTGCTTCAAACATATGGGAGTTACCGAAAGCTGGTGCCTTATTTTGGGGTCCTTAAAAGAAGGACCCTACTATTTAGGGTACTATAGTCGGGTCCCACATTTTCGGAAACTCCCATGTCGCCCCCATGCGACAGCCTCTGCAGCAAGCATGCGCCTGAGCCTCAAACCCGAAGTCAAGGCCTGTTGCTTCAACTTGGACTCTGCCACCCTGTCAAAATACAACCCAAAAGCCACACACAAAAACCATGTTGATAGCTCATAAACTCGTAAACAGGCCAGGGCACTTGACCCATGCTAGAAAGCTATAGAATACTCAAGTAGCTCATGCCTCATCACCTATGTTGAGCCTCAACATCTCAACCAAAGCTTCTAGCCTTCTAGACCCTGAGCCCCTACACCCTAAATCCTTCACCACCTAAGCCCCGGCTTCAACAATCGGATTCAGTGGAGGTCAGCTCTTCGACCTCAATCAGCGGTCCGAGTATGTCGTCCGGGCCCCATCAAGTGTGCAGTATGGTACAGCGGATAGAGAGCAGTCATCATTTTAAAGCCTGACCGTCGCGACGTCGCAAGCACTGACTCCTCTGCAGATAAAAAACAGAGACTAAAGTAACAATAGTCATGATCGTAATACTACGAATAGTAGTAATCATAGCAAGAAGGGCTTTGTGGTCTGGTCAGGGCTCGTTTTTGCTTGCTGTATCGCTCCTGACGGCTGTCTGCTTGGGGCTTGTGTTGCTTCTTTCGGTTTGGGATGTATAGTTAGGGTTTTAGAGCGAGGTTTTAGCGTTGGATCGGTCTGGGCTTCAGTTCGGGCTCGGCATGCGGTTCGAAAGCACACGCGGTGAGGAGAAGATCGTCGCAGTTGCCATCGACGAATATGCGCTCGCCTCGACATGTTACAACTCCCGGTGTTGGGTCGTCTGTGTAGAGTGAAGGATCATCTGGGAATCGAGTGTGGATGTCGCATACAGGAAGATGTAAACTAGAGCTGCAAAGTATGGTGCCATCCCGTTTTGACTTGGAGCGGGACAGTAGAATCACGTACACTGGTCAATACCGTCTTTATGTGCTGGAGTAACTGGGTTGTGTACAGGTACGAAGGTAAGACTGTCTGCGAGCACCAGCTGGAGCGTCAGGCTTTTCGTATGCCACGCTGCGATACGACACGGGATCTTTCCCACAAAAGCAACAATCGAGGAGCCTTGCAGAATCGTAAATGCTGCGCTGCAGCAAGGTGTCTCGAATTCTTCACGAAGGTCAGATAGGTGACGAATGCCTCCGAACCAGATCTTGTTCCGTAATCCCCGGCCCGACCCAGGCCCAAACAGCCGACAATGACGCATCAGGGCACAGCTTGGGCAAACCTTCTCAGGTCAAGTTGACCGGAGACAACTTTGAGCTGGAGATGAAGAAGAAGGATTGCCCATGTCCAAGGGTAAAAGGAGGGACCCTTAATAAGGACCCCTAGGTATATACCCTTAATATAGCTATTATATCCCTATATTTTCCCCTTTGACCATGGCAGCGATAGGCCTGATAAGTCTTTTTGATGCGCCCCGATGGGCGGAAAGTGCTTTCCTCAGGTGTGACCACCGGAGCAGCAAACTCTGTATTCGTGTGTTTAGAAGTTTAGGATCGGAATGGCTACCATACAATGCCAGTCTCATTTCTCCTGCATGCTGCAACTGTGCAGAAACTGAATGGCAGAGTGCGATTGCAGCCAGTACAATTGCCAACATTATTGCCAAGGGTTGCACGAATATATGGAATGTCTAGTGTATTGACAATGTATGCCAAAACCCTATTCTAATTATTCAGGCGTCTGTGTATCCTACATAAGACTATCCTACGTTACAGGCCAGTGATGCCTTCAAGCTGATGAACCCAAGATCGGAAACTTGCAAATCCCAACCCGAGGCCACCTAACCACCTCTACAGTGGCCATGACGGTACCCTTTTCTGTACGCTTTAAAGTACACCTTGTAGTAACCCTGATATTGACCTGTATAGTAACTCTCACGGTAGCCCTAGAACCCGAGACGTGTCGGAACAGTTGTCGGAACACAACCTTCCAGGACCCGGTGCCTATCGACACGCGATTGGAGGACGTCGTGAATCGGATGTTTGCGCGATGCATGGAGGACAGGGTGGGCTTGGTCAAGAAGCCCGAAGCTTTGCATTGCACGCGTTCCCCACACACGGAGCGGAGATCCGCAAGCGACTGTAGCTCCTATCAAGCAGGCCAGTGAGTCAGGCTCATCCAGGATGCCGTGTGAGCTCTCGAGCTTTGGGGGCGCGAAAAGCAATCTAAACCATGAGCATCCTGCAGTTGGCGAACTCGAAGATGGTGCCTTGAAAGACCCCGAAACTCGAAAGGTGAGAGTCCCCAAAGCCGAGCGAGGACAAGGCCTACAAGCATGGCCTTGGAATGGCTCTGGAGACGCGGCGTCTCGACAAGGCACCTGGGGTCCCTTCCTGTTCTCCTTCAGAACTCTGAACTTTGAATCCTCTGGACCTAAGCCGCGACGGCCTACGGCAGACTTACGCACGACGAGACCAACAGAAAGTATGCGAAAACTGGCAGTGCAGCTGGCGATGGGGAGCAGCAAGTGGAGGAGCAGGAGGAGGATGCCCAACCACGACGAAACCACAGACGACGACACCGAAAAAAATAAAAAATCAAGTATATATGAACATGAGATACATGTTGTAAGCAGTACTGCTACTTCTCCTGCTGACATGCATGATGATTGTGATCGTGATGAGGATGGCCACAGTGGCAGTGGCAGTGGTGGTTGTGGTGGTAGCTGTGATTGTGAACAGGCTGCCGCTGCTACTGCTGCTGCCAAATGCCACGGGTGCTGTACTGTAAACTGATGCCACTACCGCTGCAACAGCAGCAGCAACAACAAGAAGACCGGCGACGACACGACTAGTTACTACTGCTACATCAATATGGCTTTTTCCACTCTTTTGTCCGTCTGCTGCCCTACTTTCTGGTATCCTTCTCTCCGCCTCCACCTCCTACCTGTACTGCCTACCAGCACTTCGGCGACGCGTACTACTGCGACGGCAGCTAATGCTACTTAATCGAAACACTACGACGTCGCCAACAAGTTCTCGCCTTCCTGCTCCAACGCACACCATGGTGCAAAAATGCTCAGGGTTTCGGTATCTATTGAGTGCTGCTATTGATTGAAAGTCCTGGATTCGCATTGCAACTTTGCAGGTCACTGAGTTCATCAAGCAGAGTGACGCGATGGCTGAAATGCTCGAGCTTCTGCCTCAGCTCTTCAACGGACCGGCTTCGGAGCTTCACGGGCTTCGTCGATTTCTGACTTCCAGGTTTCTCATGTTATGCATGGGCCTATGGTGACAATGTCTCTAATGTAGGAATCTGATTAAGAAATCCTGGGCCTATAATCCCCAAAATAGTAGGAATCATCTAAGGAACCCTAGTAAACTCCCAAGGTTTCATAATCAGGTTCCTACGTTATTCTGGTGCCCTTATAGATCCCTTATAGTAACCCTTATAGACCCCTTTAAAGGAACCCTAATTTACTCAGTTCCCATTATCGAAGACTCCTCCTCCTCTGTTGTATGGTTCTTTCCTTCTGTTCCGGGCCTCGCCCCGAGCCCTGAGCCTCGAAAGGTTTCAGAGCCCCAAAGAAGCTTCGGATTAGGGTTTAGGGTTTAGGGGTTTAGGGTTTAGGGGTTTAGGGTTTAGGGGTTCAAGGGTTTAAGGGTTTAAGGGTTTAAGGGTTTAAGAGTTTAAGGGTTTAAGGGTTTTAGGGTTTTAGGGTTTAAGGGGTTTAGGGTTTAGGGCAAGAGTTCTAAAAAACCCAGACTGTACACCTGTGCGGTCCTCTTGTTAAGGCAGTAAGAGCTCTTTGTTCGCAGAACAAAGTTCTGTAACCCTTTCTGGTAGCCGCCCTTTTCTGCAATTCAAAATCCCGTGAACGTGCCTGTATATATTTTGCAGCTATTTTCAGAGCTATTCAGCCCAAAACCCTCGGATCAGGGCCCTTTCGCTGGCTTCGCAAGCTACGAAGTCAGGTACGCGCAGCTCTCGGCGATGACGCTGCTCACCTCCAAAGCCTTCCGGGAACGCGTCCTGAAGGCACCCTTGTGAAAACACAGGGATAATGCTCAGCAGTAAAGTACAGTCAATGTGTAGGTGTCGCGGTGAGTCCTGCCAGAACCCTGCCATGATCAGCCCGGGAAGCAGCCAGAACTTCAGCATCTGTGAAGCCGCTGAACAGACGGGACCCGAAACACAAAACGAGTTTGTCTTTTGTTTTTTTTCAATTTTCTTTTTATTGCTCTGGCTCAGGCACTAGTGGAGATTCACACCTCTGTCCAGGCGCGTGGCCTGGGTGGAGAGGGATGCAAAGGGAGAGGGTAGTGCGGTTCTTCAAACAGTGGCATGAGGCTTGATATGTCAGCTTGCGAAGCTTGGGAATCGGCAGAGGAAGCTCGACGTGAGTCCCACCGGAATGACATGAGGTTCAGGGGGTTTCTCTCAATGTGGGGGTAGTACACCCTTAAAGTCCTTGCATGTTTGTATAACCCACCCTAAAACCCTGGTCAGTTATTGAGGCGGCATTGAAAGCAAGCTGCTCCACCAGCTTGACGCGGGAATGCGGGCACATGTCACTAGTTGGTCAGCAAGGGAGAAATTTGTTCACGCGGGTAGGAGACCAAAGACAGTTCTGGGAAAAGACATTGCGCTTCGAAAGCACATACCGTACAACCTCGAAACTTTCTTGGGCAGTGTCGGGGTTGGGCACTGTGGTGGCCAGCCGCATGGAGTTGCTTAGCAGCTGCTAGATTGCGGGTGCCAGCATTACATGTTTACATACATACTCTCGATCGTACATACGCACCACATACCAACAAGGAAACAGCTTTTCCGATTCCAACAGGCCGGCAGAAAGGAACGAGTGTGGTTCGGACCTTTACCGAACGTTTTGGCACGTTGCAAAAGGCTTCCGACCAGAAGCGCGGTCGCTCTTGCACTCAACTTCCCACAGACTGTCCGAGTGCGTGACACCCAGGTCCTCTTAGTCAGATGCTGTCATTCGCAGTAGATGATGAGTTCAAGCACTACTTTCAATAGTGTTGCCAGTGTGATGATTGCGATGATCAGCATGTTTTTTTTCCCCGTTTGCCATTGTCCTTGTGCCCCAGACAGCCCAATACCCCTTGATTAAGGAATATGGCCTAAATTATATAGGGCTTCATACTATGTTTTAAGCTATATTCCTTACTTAAGGGGTATTGGGCTCTCTAGGTCTATCCCAAAACAAGCCCACAGTCCTAGATCTCCTATGGCTGCAGGAAGTGAATCTAGCTGCACTGGCCCAGTGCTACTTCATCCTCGGGGAGCCGGGAGAGGCCCAGTCTTCACGTTTCAGCGAAGTCTTCGGAGTCGGCTACTCCCTAGCCTTCAATCGCTCTGGGGTGGAGTTCCTTTAAAGAAGCATGATGGAGGAGTTGGAAGGGTCAACGCTTCACAGTTGGATTGGCCTTTGCCCAGGTCGCTAAGACACTGCAGTCTTTTGCCGGAAATCCCAACACTTCGCTCACCACTACTGCTGTTGCTGCTGCTACTACTACTGCTATTATTACTAGTACTACCACCACTACCACTACCACCTATCAATCATGACACTAATCTTCAACCTCATCCCCATCCCCTCGCGTTTTATCATCACCAGCGTCAACATCAGCATCGCTGTTATTATCCTCATCCTGATTCCTGCCACCTTTCCCGCCGTCGTTAGCACTTTTGGCATCCTCTTTCTTCATGTATGCACTGTGGATAGTGATACTGGGTGATCATGTTGTTTCCGACATTGCCTTGAACGTACCTCTGCTCTGCGGAGCTGCCAGTCGTGCTTCCTGGGCAGGTCGCCAAGATCTTGAAGGACCTGCTCGGACGCTCCGAGAAGGACCGGCATGGCATCTCACAGACATATTGAGGATAGTAATGGTGCCCCCTTGCAGCCCCTGTATCTTCACAATGAATATCATACTCGAAAATCCGTTCCAATTTTTAAGGCCTCTATATGAGATTCTGAAGCTTCGCTGGCGGTTCTGATGCTGTACGTTCTGCGTTTCGACGACTATCGTGCCACCTGGACATCTGCTCTGTGACAGAGAGGGAGAGAGTGCGGTTCCAGGAGGGCCGCGCTCTAGCCTACCAGATTGGCTTTGACATCGTCCCTGCCTCACATGTCCGCAAGACTGTGCAGATGATGAAAGCGATAACCATGACGATAAACAGTTTCGCTAGATCGATGATGTTATTGCTGGATGCTCAGCAAAGCTGTAGCAATACTAAAGTTGAAGTTGAATAGCAGCAAGAACAGTGGATCGCCTCAATTGCAACGGAATTGGTCAGAAACGGAAATTGTAGGGAATGCAGTCGTAACGCTCATGGGATTATTCGCAACACGGTTCATAGCAGTAGCAATCGTGCCTACGTGATCTAAGGAGCTGTTGCGCGGAGATAGGTGGAATACGGGCACCAAGGCGAACACCGACGTTTACAGTAACAGATGTGGCCATGACACTGCTGCTGAAAACAGTGAGAAAGACCAGCAATGGCAAGTACCACTAGCCACAGTACTGGCGCTAAAGTGATTGTAAATACTAGAAGTAGCACTGTATGGGTTGCATGTAAATGTAGTATCCGTGCTGGCAGTGTCCATGCTAGATACAGTACAGTACTGGACAAGAAAAGGTGGCTCGCAGGGACAGGATTGTAAGAAAGTTGCAGCAGTAAGAAGACTCATGGCAAACGTAGTACCGATTCCAATACGAGCACTGTGACAGAAGTACCTAGGCAATCAGCCGCCCAAGTTTGCTCCGACCCCGAAATAATGCCTTCTCGTTTGTCTCGCTGAGGTCGACAACGAAAGCCAGCACTTCTGCAATGCGGTGCTGTCATCGCCGCTTCTCAAGCTCAAGGAGCTGTTTGCCGCCAGTCCTCCCGCTTTCATATCATACGCTTCTGTCCATGGTGCTTCTGTACTGCATTTTGGAGGGCATTTTCGAAGGTTTAGTGATCATGTTTGTTCAATACTTGATGTGAGCGCCTTGTAAGTAGATGAGCTGTCTGAATGTCTCGCAAGCTATGTTGTGTTTGAGAGCTAAGTCTCGACCCGTCCCTTATGTGACATCGGCTTCACTGCCTCCAGGAAGCACAACACAACCAGCTATGTGGGAGTTTCTGAAAACCGGAGACCCTAATGTTATAGTACCCTCAATAGTAGGATCCTTATCATAAGGACCCCAACAAAAGGTACCCCTAGTTTTCGGAAACTCCCATGTTGCAGTAAGCAAGACGGAACGTGGTTCCCCCCTGCCGGGTCCCCAAGGTCAAAGTAGGAGCATTGCAGCATAGCTGTGGCCAACATCCTGCTGTTGCAATTCCCTACGTAGGACTTTGCTGCATTGCAGGTCTTTGCACTCTATGATGCCCATCGCCCTGCATTCATCTCCTTCAAGTCCCTTACATAGCCTTTATCGCAGAGGCAGTTCTCGCAACATGACATATATACCGTTTCTGACGTTCCCGTTCAAGACATTTTCCCTCTTCCAAATTTACCACATTTCGTTTTCTTTAGGGGCGCTGACTTTGCCTGCACTCTTCCGAATCGGCCATAATTCCTAAGGGCCCTCAGAAGTTCCCACGACGCCAGAAACACAAACACAGGCCAAATCCACAAGTGTTAGAAGACCTTTCAGCCTAAACCCCAAGAAGACAAAGAGTGGATTCCGCCGCCTTAACTGCTAGGGGGAAGAAGGCGTTCAAAAAAAAAGAACCAAGAAGACCTTCAACCCGTAGTGGTCCCAAAGCAGAGGTCCGGTGAGAAGACCCTAAGCCCCTAAACTCCCGAAGTCGATCCCCAAACCCCTAAACCCCTAAAGCCCTAAACCCTAAGCCCTGAACCCCTAAACCCTAAACCCCGAAACCCCTAAACCCTAAACCACGTCCGGCTTGGGGTTTATGGTTTTCCCCGGCACCCTGGACCCTAAGCCCCCGCACCCAAAGCCCAAAGCCCATAAACAAGAAACAGGATGCAGTGCTCTGCTTCTCAGAAAAAAGCCCCTAAACCCTATCCCGATCCCTACACCCTAAGTCCGAAACTTCCCTGAACCCTAAAACACCCCGAAGCCCAAAAGCTGTGACTTAAGCCCGAATCCGACAAATCAGAGACAGGAGCCTGCTCCAGCTCCCGAGCCCCCTGCGGCTGCGCCGGCCCCTGCCGAGGGCGCCGCGGAGGGCGCCGCGGAGGGCGCAGCTAACGCCTCGGTTCCTCACCGGTCGGTGGGTTTGGGGTTTTGGGGGTTTTGGGGGTTTCGGGGGTTTGGGTTTAGGGTATATGGGAGTTTCCGAAAATAGGGGGCCCTAAAATAGTACCCTAAGTAGTAGGATCCTTATTACAAGGACCCTTAAGAAGGTACCACCATTTTCCGGAAACTCCCATATTTTTGGGTTGGGGTCTGGCGGGTTCGGGGGTTTAGGTTTTAAGGTTCATGGTTGGGGTTTGGGGCCTACCAGCCATACGGGTTCCTATCAGGGCTCTTCGGAGTTGCCTAGGGGCTCCAGTTAGAATCTTGCAAGGGTTCCATAAGAGTTTCAGGGTTCAGGGTTTAGGGTTTAGGGTTTAAGGGGATTGTGAGGGGTTTCTGGAAACACGTGGTTCCATTTTCAGATATTTTCAGGCTACTTGTACTGACCTTGTAATTCTTGAGAAACCTCCTCCATGCTTTGTCATCGAAGCCCAAACCCTAAGCCCTAACCCGTCAACACTAAAGCCCTCAGACCTTTGAGTTAAGCTCCAAGCAAAAAGACCAGCAAGAGCACCCGCGCCACAAACCCTCGAAACCTCTCCAAGCCCTCCCCAAGCCCCAGAACCTTAAACTCGCAAAGTAATACCACCAACCCCTCCGAAACCCCAACAGCCGCATTCCTTCCTTCCTTCCTTCCTTCCTTCCTTGAGGAAGCGCCCCCACCAGAGCCGGCACCTCCGGCAGCTCCGCCGGTGCGCCTTGCAGCCGTGCCTGCCATTTTCGGTCGGTGATCCCTAACCTAGGGTTCTGTGATAGTCGATGAGCCCTATAGAGTTTGTGTACACACTGCTCGCGACGGTTGTGGTGGTGTCGGTGGTGGTGGTGTGAAGCGAGGGGCACTTCTCTCGAAACCGTACTGGTCGTATGTGAGGCTTGGACTACGGCATGGAAAAAGCTGCACAGAGCAAACAACTCCGAAAAACCATGTATTTTGTGGTATGAGCTCCATCGCCGTCTCTCCCTTGGCAGTAGCTGCATGTCGCCTTACCAGTCTATTTCGGAAGCCAGCTTCGACCAACCTCCAAGTCGACAGCATTCTAGTCCTAGCCGCGGACAGATTGAGAAGCTCTAAGTACCCTGCCCTTTCATCCGAAAGTCTGCACCCAGGTGGATGAAGGCCCAGCCATGTCGGATCAGGCCCCTGCTGCTTCTTCGGGTCTTCGGGTCTTCGTCGGGTCATGAAATAAAGTGCAGAGGAAAAGCCCGCATTTATTTGTGAAAGGCTTAGTAATGTTACGTAGATGCTTGGAGCATTGGAGTTGTGTTGCTGGAGCAAAACTGCCCATCCGTCTCTCTCGCTCTCTCCCTCCTCGTCTCCTCCCTCGCCTCGCTTCCCCCTCCCCCTGACACCTATAAGCAAGTCGCCTCCCCCTTCACTCTGCCAACCGAACCTTAACCCAAACCGGCGACATGGTTTTTCGTTCCGTTCTCCAGGAGAAGGAGGACCTCACTCTTCTCCGGAAGATTTTGTCAGGGCGTTCCTCAATTGACCTGCTGCAGCCTCGGGGTGCAAATCGGGAGTGTACACGGAACTCCCCCGACAATGTGCTTTAAAGGAATGCCACGCCAACCTGGGCTTATTCTCAACATCACCGGCGGTTACTCTAAGGTTACAACCAGGGTACGACAGGTTTACGAAACTATAAAGCTACTAACATAGAATACCTAGAATGGTGTAAAAGCTTTACGAAAGTTTGTGATACTAGACGGCTACTAACCTAGAGCCCTACCACCATATGGGTGGTTGTCAAAATTATGGTCCTTTTTTGGGTCCCTGTTATAATACGGCACCTAATATTTAGGGTACCCAAAAAGGGACCATAATTTTGACAACTACCCATATGCTTACGATACAGTTTGCCCGACTCCAAGGCAGATGGAATTCTTGTACAGGAACAACCGGTCAGCCCCCGGCTCGGCTTTGGAGCATTTCGTGCGCCACGGTCAACGTATTACAGTGTGTCATACTATATCATACTGTTTGTAATGTATCTGTGTTTTAAAGTTCGTACTTATACTATGTAGGCTTGCTATGTGTATCTACCTATGTACTGTATACGACGATATATGAGTTGTGGACAGAATCTATTACATGTTGTACACTGCATATTTTTATGTTGTACAATATAGACTGTATACTTCGCATCCTATTATGTATCGCATATCTTGTACACCTTTTGTTATATACCTAAGTCTATACCTGTCTGTATCTATGCCTATACCTAAACTTCCTATATCTACATCTGTCTCTATTTCCATGTCTATATCTATATACACATACACATATACATATATGCTGATTGTGCCATACAGCTGTTTTTGTCTGTACAAGACATACTATATTACAGATTATATTGCATATATACACATAGCATATAGTAAGTAGTGTTTAGAACATATTATACATTACATCATATATAGTACATGGTATATAATAGATAGTAGATCGTCTGTAGTATCTACTGTATAAGAACAGATTAATATTAATAGAATTATTGTTGTTATTAGTAATAGTAGTGATAATATTGACGTGTGTGTATATACATATATATATATATATATATATCTGTAGTATATTACATAACTCAGGGGCCTTGAATCTTGGCAAGACACTATGTCCTGAAGCATACCCGAGATTTGTCATGACCGTGCACAACTTCACCACAGTGCTCGAGATGTTCATGCGTGGATTGTTGGATGTTCCTGAGGACTTGCTCCTCCTGGACACCATCAAGAATTCAGTTGATTCAAAGAGTCTGGGCAGCATCTGCGTCTCGAAGGCGTGGCGTTTCGAGCTTTCTCCAGAATCCGATTCAAACCTTGAAGCCGAAGTCACCCTAGGAACTCCATCACCCACAATGGCACGGTGATGGCACACGGCATGATGCAGTGCGGCACGACCAGTGATGTCTTTTTGCGTCGGCGGCCCAGAAGTTCCCAAGAGGATTTCACGGGAGTCTTCCGATCGCGTGTGTTCGTTTCTTTCGTTCGCATGCTTCCGGCTGAGGGACCTCAGGTGAGCTTCTGACTAAGGAGGCTAAAAGGCTTCTTGAGGTTAGAGTGCAGGGTTATATTACATTCCATAATATATCATGTTGTATCATGTAAGGAGAAGGGCTTCTTTCACCGCCAATTTGCTGCCGAAGCAGCGGGGTCAAGGGATCGTTGCCAAATCTGCGCGGCAAGCTTGTGATGTCTGTGCCGCCCAAATCCTTTTCCACCGGAAACCACACTTCAAGTTTGACGTGGCTGAGCTGTCGAAAACCTTGTGCCCGAACCTGCGTTTCGAGTTTTACGCGTGGATGGGTCTGCCAAAACTTTTCGAACCTGTGGTTCAAATTTGACATGTTTGAGCTCGCCAAGACCAAGCTGCCTTCAAGATTGAAGTGTTTTGGGTTCGACTGGACAACACATTCGTGCCGCTTCTGTGTCTGGCTCGCCAAAGCCTATTGCCAGAATCTGCGTTTCAAGTTTTGACGCGTTTGGGCTGCATTCGCCAAAGCCTTTGGCCCGAATCTGCGTTTCAAGTTTGACACGTGTTCGAGATCGTGCAACCCGGTGTCCCGAATCTGCAGTCCATGTGTTTGAGATTGCGAAATCATGTGGCCCGAGCCGAGGTTTTTTGTTGACCTAACGCGTTTGGCCTAAATCTGCTTTTCAAGTTAGACATGTGGTCCCTATCTGTTTTTCAAGTTTGATACGGGTTTGGGCCAGTCAAGACGTTTGCGCCGCTATGTCTCAAGTCTGACATGTGTTTGAGATCGCGAAACTTGCGGCCCAAATCTGCATTTCAAGCTTGACACATGTTCGGGATGGGCAAAACCAGTGGCCCGATCTGCACATCAAGTTTGACATGTGTCTGAGATCGCGAAAGCCTATGGCCCCCATCCGCATGTCAAGTTTGACACCTGTTGGAGATCTTGCAACCCTGTGTCCCGAATTTGCATTCAAGTTTCAATTGTGTTTGAGAGCGCAAACACCGGTGGCCAGTATTTGCATCAAGTTCGACCAAGTTCGACCCTGTGGTCCGAATCGGCATTTTCTGTTTTGACGTGTTTTTGAGATCGCCAGAACCTGGAATGGTGTGTGTGTGTGTGAGATTGCCAAAACCGGTTGCCTAAATCTGCCTTTCAAACATGTGTTTGAGATCGTGGTTTTTGCACCCGGAATCTGCATTTCTTGTTTTGACACTTGTTTGAGATCGCGAACATCTGTGGCCCGAATCTTCATTTCAAACTTTTGACATGTGCTTGAGATTGCAAAAACCTTGTGGCCCGAGGCTGCATTTCAAGTTTGACATGTGTTCAAGGTCTTGACAACCTGTGGCCCCAATCCGCATTACAGTTTTGGCATGTTGGTGACATCCTGACAACCTGTGTGCCCAACTTCCGTGCATTGAAAGCTTGACCTGTGTCTGAGATCGCGAAAACCTATGGCCCCAATCTGCATTTCAAGTGAGATCGCGAAAACCTATGTCCCCAATCTGCATTTCAAGGTTGACATGTGTCTGAGATCGCGAGAACCTATGGCCCCAATCTGCATGTCAAGTTTGACATGTGTCTGAGATCGCGAAAACCTATGGCCCCAATCTGCAATTGAAGTTTGACATGCGTTTGAGATCACGAAAGCCTACGGCCCCAAGCGGCATTTCAAGCTTGACATGTGCTTGCGATCACGAAAACCTATGGCCCCAATCTGCATGTCAAGTTTGACATGTGTCTGAGATCGTGAAAACCTATGGCCCTTGACATGTGTCTGTGTCTGAGATCGTCAAGACCTCTGTCCCAATTTGGCCAATTCAATCGGTATTTCGAGTTTGACATGTGTAACGCAAAAACCTATGGCCCCAATCTGCATTTTCTGTTTGACATGTGTCTGAGATCGCGAAATAACTATGGCCCCAATCTGCATGCCAAGTTTGACATGTGTCTGAGATGGCGAAAACCTATGGCCCCAATCTCAATTTCAAGTTTGACATGTGTCTGAGACCGCGAAAACCTATGGCCCCAACCTGCATTTCAAGTTTGACATGTGTCTGAGATCGCGAAAACCTATGGCGCCAATCTGAAAGTTTGACATGTGCCTGAGATCGCGAACACCTATGGCCCCAATTCGCATTTCAAGTTTGACGTGTGTCTGAAATCGTGGCCCCAATCTGCATGTCAAGTTTGACATGTGTCTGAGATCGCAATCTGTTTTTCAAGTTTGACATGTGTCTGAGATCGCGAAAACCTATAGTCCCTATCTGCATTTCAATTTTGACATGTGTCTGAGATCGTGAAAACCAATGGCCCCAATCTGCATTTCAAGTTTGACATGTGTCTGCATTCATGTACATTCTTTGCCACAGCTGTCTGCCACACTTCACGTATTACAACAGAAAATACACTGAAAAGTTTCGTTATCCTACAAGATATGTTAAAATATTCGACAAATACTCTATAACATACTTTAACATACCATGATATGTTGTAAGGTGCTACAATACAAGACCGTGAAGGTAGCCTGACCTTCCCAACCACCCTGTACCGGGAATTAGAATAGGGGCCTAAATAATCACCAATACTATTTTGGGGTTCCTTATTATAATTATAGTATATTATATGCTATAATCATAATAAGGAACCCAAAAATAGTATTGGTGATGATTTCGGCCCAAAACACTGTTCTAATTATTAAGCCCCCTCAACCCTATTATTATAAATCCCTTATACTACCCCTCAAAAGGACCCCTTTAAAGAAACCCTATCTTAATTATTAAGGCCCCCAAATTAGTATAGATCCCTTATAGTAGCCCTTTAAAGGACCCCTTGAAAGGAACCCTATTCCAATTATTAAGCCCCCTAAACCCTCAACCCTAAACCCTAAACCCTAAACCCTAAAACCCTAAACCCAAAACCCAAAACCCTAAACCCTAAACCTTAAACCCTGAACCCTAAAACCCTAAACCCGAAACCCTAAACCCGAAACCCTCTGGGCTTCGAAAGCCAAGGCAAGAACCTCGAGTGGTTGGCCAAGGCATCGAACTGGGCCAAGTTCAGCGCCACTGCCTCCCTGGGCCAGCGGCTCACTGTGGGTTTAGGGAGCGTTGGGGGAGTGAAAGTTGCGGTCAGGGGACTTCTGGGGACTTCTTGGGTAGGGTTTAGTGTCGCTGCAGGCTTTTTCAGGGTTGAGTTGATATAGAATCAGATGTCAAAGTCATTCATAGCCGTTTTACTTCCGGTTCAAGAAGGCTCTGTTTGGTAGAAAGCTAGAAAGCAGCACCATTACTGCTTTAGTCGCTACGGAAAAATTTTGCACGTGTCGTCTGGCATGTGCTGGTCCTCGAGCCGAATTCAGGACGCTGAATTCTGAACCTTTTAGGGCCCAGATTCCCAACGCAGTCGAACTTTCCTTGTGAAAGCAGTGAACGCCCCTAAACCCTAAACCCTAAACCCTAAACCCTAAACCCCTAAGCCCTAAACCCTAAACCCTAAACCGTCTATTGCGTAGGTTCCGCGACTTGCAAAGGTGTCATCCACAAGGGCCACATCAAGGAGTCGAGGCCCGACCTTGGGACCAGGGTTTAGGGCTTAGGGCTTAGGGTTTAGGGTTTAGGGTTTAGGGCTTAGGGTTTAGGGTTTAGGGTTTAGGCCTTTCAGTTCAGGAGGTTGTTTTTTCGTCCTGGTTTCAAGGCCTGTGGGGTTTAGGGCGCAGGTTGAGGGGTACCGTGTGGCCAGTCGGAGGTAGCTTACGCCGGGAATTCATGGCAGAGTGTGCGGGCTTGTCATCGATTACATTGCAGGTTCGTTTAACCTACCTGGCTACATGGACAGGAAGCCTCAGATGCGGGAAACCAGCCTCATTCCAAGCCAGTGCGGGTTTCTTCTGCGCGGATTGCTGTTGCTTTTGCTCTTACTCTTGCTCTTGCTGCTGCTGCCGCCGGTGTTGTTGTTGTGATTGTGGTTGCTGTCGTTATCCGTTGTCCTTCCGCTCACTAAAGCCCGAGGAGCGACACCCACCAGATTCTTTGACACCACCTTTCCTGGCAGGTCCATTCTGAGCACGTACCTGCCGCAACAGGGAGGCGGGGATCGGGTCAGGGGCCGCGGGTTTGATCGCTTAGGGCTTTGGGTTAGGCTTTAGGGTTTTAGGGCTTAGGGTTTAGGGTATCAGGGTTTTAGGGTTTTAGGGCTTAAGGTTTAGGGTTTAGGGTTTCAGGGTTTTAGGGTTTAGGGTTTGAGGGTTTTAGGGTTTAGGGTTTAGGGTTTAGGGTTTTAGGGTTTAAGTTGAGATGTTCGAGGGGCCCTGAGCCGCCCGAAAGGCACGCGGGGCAGCCCCTACTCCGAAGGCGGAGCCCTCTACGGCATGGGCCGAAGCCTCAGCTGTGATGGCCGCGCTGCACATGTATGTCTCTTTGCGACCCTTCTGCTGCTGCTCCTGCTGCTGCTGCTTACTGCTCCTACTACTGCTACTGCTACTGCTGCTACTACTACTGCTACTCCTACTACTCCTGCTACTACTCCTGCTACGACGACGACTACTACTGCTCTGGTTCTGCTCCTGCTCTTGCTCCGTTCCTGCTCCTGCTCCGCTCCTGCTCGTGCTCCTGCTCCTGTGCTCCTGCTCCTGCTCCTGCTGCTGCTGCTGTTGATGTTAGTGCTAATGCTAAAGCTAATGCTAGTGCTAGTGCTGATGCTGATGCTAATGCTAATGCTGTTGCTGATGCTGATGCTGATGCTGTGCTGCTGCTGCTGATGCTGCGACTGCGACTGCCACTGCGACTATGACTGTGACTACGACGACCATCACCACCACCTCAGTGGCGTTCTTGATGGCTTCCATAGTCACAGTTGTGTTAAGTATTTACATTCTTGTACATTGCAGTCAAGCTGCTGGCAGCTGCGATAGGCACAATATCACTACGAACGTTATACCCTGTGGGTGTATTCTGAGGATACATGTACACATATATAGATAGATAGATATCATACACAAACACACTCGCTCAAAGTATCCATGAACCCCGAACAAGCTGCGGACAGCTTGACAATGTTGTTGCCATGCAACATGTCCTTGAAACTGCGAGCGCGATCTGCTTGAGGCCTGATCCATGCAAATCACTACGATCCGGAGACGAAGGAGCTCCCAGCTAGCCGATTTTGCTGCCTCGGAGCCTGCATTGTAAGCTTAAGGCTTGGGTTCAAAGTGTACTGATTCCGGGTTCCGAGTTTTCGGGGGGGAAGGGGGTTGTGCTTCGTTTTGGTTAGGGACCCTAAACCCTAAACCCTAAACCCTAAACCCTAAACCTGGATGGGTCGCAGCTCGGGATCTCGCGCTCCAGGGCTATCTCGTGGAACAGCTGCGGAATGCCCAGGCTACGGAGGCGCCCCGGCCCTTTCAGTAGCACTGTCTGGTTCTTAGCATGGGTTGTTTTAAGGGTTCCCTTAAGGGTTACTATAAGGGTTACTGTGAGGGTTATACTATAGGGGTGTAGTAGGGTTCTTAGCAGGCTGTCTGGTTCTTGGTAGGGAAGGGGGGAAAGGGTTATGGAGGCCATTATTGGGGACTACTTAGGGGCTACTATGGGGATCCAGTCCCCCATTTCCTACTAAGCAACAGACAGATAATTATTCATAGGCATTGCAATGGTGGCAAGAATCCGCTTAAAAGAACATGTGCTGGCCTTGTTGCAGACAGTAAAGAAAGCATTCATCGCAGCAGTCCTTATGGCCCATGCCTTCACAAGTAGGCATGCTACAGAGCCATAGATGCGAATCAGACATGTTCTACTGTTCTTGATCTGGGGCAGACCGGAGACTCCACCCCAGGTTGAAACGGGGTGCTTGGGTTCAGGGCTCAGGGTTTAGAGTGTGTAGTAACATATAAGATCATATAAGGCATATATGGTCCCAGCCAGAGATACTCACTTGAACTAGAAATCTTCTTCACTGCGGTCCCCGATGCAAGCAGGTACTCCAGCACGGGGCCTGTCTCGGCATCGGCACAGAGCTCAGCAATGGGGCGCTCAATGAACCGTAGCTGAGAAGTGTGAGGCGTCTGTTGAGTGCAGTGCAGTGCTTGAGCTTGCCTTTCTTGTATGTATGCCAGTCTCATCTATGCTGAGACAAAGTTGACTTGGGTCATCTCGATGCCTTCGATGTTTATACCCTCCGTGCAGGTACTACATTTCTCTGCGTACTGCAACTCTTGCGGAGTTTTGTCGAAGTTGGGTTTGGTTATCCGATCTCCTTGCTCTTTGAAGGGTTGATGTTGCTTGGCTGCTTGACGTTGCTTGACGTACTGCAGGATCAGGGTAGCTGCGATAAAAAGTAGCCGTGCTTGGCCCCCCACCGATAATCGTAGGTGTCGCCATTTTACGAGCTCGCGTGATCCTCCCAGTGTGTGTGATTCGGTCACCAGCGGGAGCACGGCTCAACCTTGAAGCATGCGGTACCCTCACTGGCGAGATCTTGGGTCAAGGGCGAGGTTCCAGAGCTTCTGTTGCGGTTTAGGGTTTAGGGTTTAGGTGTAGCAACATACATCATTATGATCCGGAAGAAAAAGATGATGATGGAGACGATGACAGTGGCGATGAGAGCAAACAGCCACAGAGGCTACGAACGGCTGTTATCCACGCGACTCGGACTGACCCCTTTGCCCTGTTTCGGCGGATCTTCAGGGTTGAAAGTTTCGGAACAAGTTCTTACACAGATCACAGATCCAAACTTCGCAGGAAGATATCCGACTGAAAGACCCTCGGAAGCTTTTCCGCGTTGACAGCTGCCGGCCGACAGTGCAGGTCTTTTGTGTATGGCGACTGCAGACGAAAGTATCTACGATGAGCTGACCCAGACTTTGCCTTGCACTCAGCGTCCTTGCAGTCGAAGATGAGACCGTCAGATATCGATTCCAGGAAATACTCCAAAGCGAGCAACCTTTGGAATGGCACGGTTTTATATCATAAAGAGTCTGAGCCTTCCCCATGGATCTTGTGGTAACGTAACCGGTGTAGGACCCCATTTAGCCAAAAAGCACTTAAACCCTGGTGCCTCATAGGCCTTGAAGATTCCTTTTGGATCCCTTATAGGAGCCCCATGTAGGAATCCTTTCAGAAACCCTTGAAGCCAAGGTACACGGACACCGCTGTCGCCGGTGAGGCAGCGGCCTATGCCATCGGACTCGTCATGGTGGCGCACCCGGGGGGTGGTTGGGGGGAGGGGTGGGGTCGGGATGTAGGCACAGCTACGGCCCTGATTTTGACAACTACCCACATGTCTCGGACTGACTGAGGTCGGTTCCGCGTCGCAGAAGGCAATCGACGAGCTTTGCCCTTATGGCACATGGGCCCTTGCTTCGCGAGTGGTGTCCGATGTTCAGACTTCAGATCGTGGGAGCCGGCTTTCGAGGCAGCTTTACGACGAGCAGTGGCTTCCCCAACCCCTGTTATAACTGAGCTTGGGAATCTGGGCTCCCTTGCTCGAACTTTGTCCTTTGCGTCTCCGCCGTGGCTCGAATGTTGGAGGTTCTTACGTTCTAGGCCTATCCGCTGCGTCCGAGCCCATGGAGCTGGGGAGGCGGCGGACCTTCGTAAACTTCCTGGTGGTAGGGTGCCAAGCTTTCAAGGTTCCCTGCAACACAGGGTTTAGGGTTCAGGGAGTAGGAGTAAGGTCACCCATCCATTGGTGACATGGTTTGCATGCCATGGTGCAGTGTTGTCGTAAGCGTACCATCGGTAGGTAGGTAGGTAGGTAGGGAGATAGGTAGATGCAGGTGTTGATCCGACACACTGGCACTTGTACGTCTGCTCGCAAGCAAGTACGAGTGGATGGAGACTATCAGTGACTATCACGCAGATGCTATCAAGCATGCGAAAGACGACAATGCAAGCAGGGCAGGAAGATCTCTGTGTATTAGTTTCTGCCAGTGTATGTGCGAATATATATATATATATATATATATATATATATGTATGTATGTATGTATACATATCTAAATATACATAACTGTACATAAATATACATAAATATAAATAGATATAAATAGATACATAGGTATAGTTACAAATGAACAAATACATAAATAAGCAATTAAATAAATACATATAAATATACATGTATATATATATGTATGTATGTATGTATGTATGTATAAGTAAGTATTCACCTCTACAGCTGCAACACACTACCTCCAAGCCCTAAGCCCTAAATCTGATGAAGATCCCTTTGCCCAAGGTGTTCCTCTTTGCTGCGCCACCCGCAGATGCACTGCGACCGGGGAATGGACAGCTCTTCGGACCGCACGGGCGATTTTAGAGGAAAAAGGTTGGTGCCGAAGCGTCGGTCGGGTTGCTGCCTGGGCTTCTTTTCTTGATTCTTATAGATCAGAACGTGAGAGCATTGCTAGGGTGATGATGTAGCTACTCCAACCTGGACGTCCGTCCTTTGGCGCCTACTTTGCGCATGGACGATGTGTAGCAGGCCCAGTCCCGTCCTCCGCATGTAAACTGCATGTGAACATGAGTCGACACCTCCCCATAGACTCGCAGGTTTAGCGAGCATTGCCGACCAGCATGATAACCAACCCAAAGGGGTGGCCTTGTTGTGAATTTTCAGGCCATGCGCAGATTCGGCTGTGAAGGGCCTCTCAGAGGCCCGCTGCGAGTGAGGAGATGCTGTGCAACTCCGGCGCCTTGTTGGGGACAAGGGCATCTTGACGGTAAAGCTTTGGAAAGGGTTAGTTGTGGGGGCCACTGCGGGCTTCCGGTCGAGGAAGTACCGGAGGTTTGGACGAGTTCCTGACTTGGGATCCGACGATTGAACTCCTGCAAGAATTTGACTCTTTGACTACTAGATATAGCCAAAACACAACCTCGAGTCTTCAGGAGCTTCATAGCTTCACTTCGCGAACCAAAAGGGGTGGTCCCTCTAAGATACAAGACTGTATTCACACCCTATAAGCCACAATATTTTTCGTGTATACACACACACATATATATATATATATATATACGCACATATATTTACATATTTACATATATATATATATATACATATATATATACATACATATATATATATGTATATATATATATATATATATATGTATGTACATATATGTATATATACACATGCATATATATATATATATGTATGTATGTATATACACACATATATCTACATTACGACTATTTGAGGGAATCCGAGAGGGAAGAAGCCGGCAAGGCACAAATCCGCGGGCCTGCTTTTTAGGGTTTCCGGTTTTAGGGGTTTAGGGCCTTTAGGGTTCAGGGGATAAGACTGTAGGGTTTAGGGTTTAGCTTTCAGGGGCTTGCAGGCAGATGCCGCAAAGCGCTTCTTCATGTTGGCAGAGCTAGTGGATGTCTCCGGTCGGGGCCCGAGGCTTTGGAGAAAAACACCAGTGACGGCAGATACGTATGGCTGCACGTTTAGGAAGTTTGCATGTTGTTGTAGTTTCGAATCTAAACATGCATGCAGGCATGCATACATCTACAATCCTTTACACTCATGTTTGTACATTGAAGCGATCTACATAGCTTCTGACGCTGGCTCTGGATTCTCTGGCAGCCGACACCGAGGTGTCTCTTGCCTCGACAGGCTGCGCAATCTCCAAGCGTCCACGGACAGCCAGGGCTTCATGCCCATGCCTCGGTTGCGGGCTTCGGGGCCCCGTTATTGCCAAGAGGCCGCAAAGCCCTGAAGTCCTTGCCGGAGGCCGGACGGGGCCTGGACCAGCTGCCTGAAGAAGGCGAGGCCTCGATATCACCTGCGTAAGAGATCTCAGACAGGTGGAACAGCTTAGGACTCGACCTGCAAGCTCCTGAGACTATGGTAGGATCATGCTTGCAAACCCCTCTTGTGGCCTTTGGGCTGACCCTACAGTATGCGGCTTCGTTTATGGACACCCTTGCAGGCCGTGGACTACGAGGTATGGAACAAGGTGCGGAGTGTTCACTCCCCCCCCAAACCCCCAAGCCCCGAGCACAAGAGCCTAAAAAGTTTGAACCAACCCAACACGTTGTGCACCATGCAGCATTGTCCTGGCACTCTACTGCATTCGATTCGGGCCCTTTGGGGTTTCAAGACTTGGCCCAACCTCAGACACTGAAGACCATGTCCCCTCAATCTCAACCCTTCAAGCCCAAAATGCCCAAACTCATGGGCCCGGACCCACAAAGCCATAAACCAGGAATCCGAACAGCCCCCAATCCCCTGAGCCCGTATAGAACCCTTCATAGAGCCGTTGTAGTACCCTGACCAGTTACTCAAAGAACCCGTATTCCCCTATGGCAACCTCACGGGAAGAACCAAGCAAACTTGACTTCCCTAAACCCTAAATTGGCCCTAAATCCCTGGCAGAATCCACCTTCCTTTTTGGCGACGAAGCATACCTTAAGTAGTAGGATCCTTATTATCAGGACCCCCCCAAAATGAGAGACAGGACTAAACCCTAAACCCTGAACCCCAAACCCCCCAAACCCCAAACCCTAAACCCTAAACCCTAAAATTGAAACCTTAAACCCCAAACCCCAAACCCTAAAACCCCAAATCCTAAAACTGAAACCTTAAACCCCAAAACCCAACACCCTAAACCCTAAACAACAGGACTGGACGAGACAGGCCCGGTTTCACCGGAGCAGCAAGCCCGGGGAAGAGATCCAGGGGCCCGCAGGCCAGGTTCTGATAGGGGCCAAAAAGTTGGAAACCTGATAGCCTCCATCCTTAAGAGTAATGTATAGGGAATCCCAGCACTATTTGGCCTTAATCCGGTTTCCAACTTTATGGGGTTTACTGTAAGGGTTTAGGGTTTAGGGTATAGGGTTTAGGGTTTAGGGTTCTGATAGGGGGTTGCAGGGTTTAATTTTTTTGGGGGTCTGATTGCTTTAGGATCAATTTGTCTTGGGGTTCTGATACGTACAGGGTTTAAGATCTTAGGGCCGTGATAAGTTTCGGATTTGAGGTCTTTGAGGGATTCTGATGGGTGTAGGGTTTGCGGCCGGTTTGTCAGTTTGGGGATTCCGATGGGTTTAGGGCTTGCCTGATCTGATGAGTTGAGGGCTCAGGGCCAGTTAGTGTTTTTTGTTTTTGTGCGAGGTCCGCTACAGTAGGTGTTTGGGCCAGTTTACTGCTAATCTTGATGTTGATGGGTTGAGGGAGTGGCACTTCTGTGGGTTCTGAGGGCGTGCAGAAGCGGAGGAGGCTCATCACATGCCAAGGCTGTTGATATCATTGCTGAGTAGTTTGTCGGCATGAGGGCTCACACGAGCCTTAGGTATGGCCTCTTGCATTGCCGGCACGAAAGTTTCGACAAAGAGAGGATCTTCTTTGTAACATGAACGTATGCTGCATTTCATGTGGCCAGCGCGGCGGAATAAACGTACTGATGACTTATACCATGCACTTCCCGGCGGAGTGGCCTTTCAGGATCCCGTCTGAGGCGTCTAGTCCCAGGGCCTGACATCTGAAGTTGCAGGTCGTCGGGATTAAGTTCTGGCGGCGGTAGTATGTCGATCCTTGAGTTCCGTGTAAGATCAACTTTGATGGGGTAGTGGTTTTCGTATGCAGATTTCGAGAACTCCTCGTGGCACTGTTCCCGTACTGAATGGACTCAGCCTCGTGCCCTTCTAGCAAGACAGCCCGGGGGAATGAAACAAGAACTCAGAGTACCATCCGAAAGGAGACAAAGGCCGAATGCAGCGCAATACGCAGCAGCAGAACAGAAGAATAGAGCAGAACCGTGGTAAATGACATTAGTCGTATAAAGTGTGGGAATCCAGAATAAAAAGTGTGGGAATCCAGAAAATATTCAGAGGCTTTTCGTGGCGAACCTCTGCTGTGAGCTAATTAGTTTCCCAAGTTGACCGCCATGTGGGTGGTTGTCAAAATTAGGGTCCCTTTTTGGGCCCTTTTCAAAATACGGCATCTAATATTAAGGGTACCCGAAAGGGGACCATAATTTTGACAACTACCCATGTGATTAGCCTGAAGCTCCAAAGGTTCCTACAGCACGTAAGGCCCTCAACAGTCGCTAGTCTCATGCCGCTATGAATCCCCGCGCGTGTGGTTTCGTGCCATGCACCCCCACCCACATCCCCATAGTCCTTCTAGTCTGCTGTAGTTTAAGTATAAAGAAGCCTGAACAATTACCAAAACTATTCCACAAGTTTCCTTGTTTTTATAAGCATACGATAATATGCCCAACTCTACTCTAGGCCGCTTTGTCATGGAGTGTTTTAATTGCAACCTTATAAAACCCTTCAAGGGAGCAATCTTCAGAAGCCTTATCTTCAAAAAATGGCATCAAGGCCCCTTCATTACACCGGGTCTTCCTGCGAAGGTCAGGTCATAACTCTCTTCTCAGAGCGTGCTGCCGAGGTGGGCTACTGTTATGGGTTCGACGGTTTAGGCCAGTTTAGGGTTTTGGTTCAGGGTTTACGCTTTCGGGTTTAGGGTTTCAGGTTGAGGATGGTTTAAGGCTCAAGGTTCGGGGTTTACCTAGACCCCCCAACTACCCTCTAATAGACCCTAAATACCACTATTAAGGACCATAAGGGCTCTATTATATAAAGGGTACTTGGGGGGGTCCTGGTATAGGGTTTACTTATGGGTCTACTCTGAGAGTTGCAGCATCCCTTGACCGTTTAATGAGCACGGGGCACGCCAGCCTTTTGGGGTTTACTTAAAGGATCATGGGACTTAGTAACTAGGGTTATAATAAAGGGCTCTTTAAAGGGATCTATAGGGTTCCTTAAAGGGGTTTATGGGGTTTAGGGTTTACTTAAAGGATCATGGGACTTAGTAACTAGGGTTATAATTATGGTAACTCGACTTACAACTACTGATAACTGCAGTTAAAGGTACTTATGACCTTACTTACTAAGTCCCCATGAACCTCCAAGTAGGGGTTCAGGGTCTAGGGATTTGCAGCAAGGAGTTGAAGAGTCCAGCTTCATTGGCTCAACTTCTAGTAGTATTAATATTGGTATTAGTCTTAGTATGTGTATTAGTATGAGTATTAATATTAGTATTAGTACTCAAGCATCGGCCAGTCAGCTTTTTCAACGAGGGAAGATGAAAATCCTGCTGAGGAAATGAAGCCGCAAGCCCAGTTCCTAAGCCCTAAATCCTTAAAACCTGATCCTCAGCTTGATGTCAGGACCTCAACCCAAAAGCCGTCATTACCAAAATTATTCCTTAGGGTTCCCGATTATACTCATTGTACAATACACTCCCAACGCCTGTAAGTCTTTGTCACACCATGTGAGGCACAGCTCCACCTCGAAGACTGCTTGCATGAGAAGGAGGTGGTCGGGATTTTCATAAGCGCCAAGCTATCGAAGCTGCGTCGAAGACTGAGGGTTAAGGGTGCTACTTACTACTTTGGGCTTGAGTCCGTAAGTCTCCACAAGCACCGGCCCAACATAGAGACTGCTCTTATGCGACTTCAGACCAGTACTGATCCTCCGTGAAGATGCCCTTGTGGCACTCGGCACACATCGTCGGAATACAGATTTCGCACCGTATGCCATTCTTCATTCAAGGAGATGTAATGTGAATTCTCCCGTTGCAACAGAAGATCGAGATCAGAGGCGGCCCAAATAACCTTGCACTGGGCAGCGGGAGCCATTCAGAGCGATCTTTGTAGAGACTAGTCGAATAGTTCGACCTGATTCCTATTCTCGGGAACCATGCAAGCCCTTACCGAGTCGGACAGCATGTTTGAACTGTCCGCAAAACACGCATCCCCCGGCTCGTAGCTAGCAAGCCAAGCTACAATGTCCCTAAACCCTCAACCTGAAACCCTCGCTCCTGGATGGAAGGAGCTCGCGCGGCGCCGCGAGGCCGTCGCCGCTGCGGCTCTTGCCCAGCAGCGCGTTCCTGGACTGCAAAGCCTGGATTTGGGTGGTGCTTATGGCCCCTTTTTGGGTACCGTAAATATTAGGTGCCGTAACCCAAAAAGGGACCCTAATTTTGACAACCACCCAGGTTTGGGACTTCAGAGTTGGGGGCCTCACTGCAGTAGTTTGGTTTGGGCCGAGGCTTTCAAGGCTTTCGGACTTCGGCCAACCGGGGACTACGGTCAACCAGCACTCGATTTTTTATCCTGGGCTCCTAGCTAGAGCTATCTTGAACAGCGGTGACGTGTATCAAGACAAGTAGATCAGGCACGCACAAGCCATGGCTTGATCGCAATTTTGTCATTAAAGTGTGGATCTCAGGCTCAGAAAAAAGAAGGTTGACCAAAGACCGTGCTTCTCTGCGACTACGCATGCAGTCGTAGAGGCATTTTGAGACAAAGCAACATGCTTAACTTGCGAACCTGCCCAGTGGCGACAACATCTAGTTCCTCGGAGGTGACGGCTACGACGGCGATGGCGATTATGCTGACGATGACGAGGACGACGATGATGGTGCTGAAGACAAACAACTTTCGCGCTCTTGCGATTATTCCTCGTCCTCCGCCTCCTCCTTCTGGTCCTCCTCCTCCCCCTGCTCCTCCCCCTCCTCCTCCTCCTCCTCCTCCTCCTCCTCCTCCTCCTCCCCTATTACTACTGCTGCTGCTCCCGCTCCTGCTACTGCCACTGCTACCGGTATTGCTACTACCACCGCTACTGTTACTGCTACTTCCACTGCCGCTGCCGCTGCCGCTGCCGCTGCTACTGCGGCTGCCGCTGCTGCTGTTTCTGCTACCACCACCTGTCGTCGTCAACATGCCATGGTTCAGCATAGACCGCGGCTCAGGCGATGTCCCTGGCCTCGCTGCTGCAGGTCCTTAGGGGGGAGAGCACCTCTTGTGAGGGAATTATGTGTTTGATTTGTGGTCTTCGGAGGCATCCAGTCGAGAAGTCCTTGTGTCTGTGCCTTTGCATCTTCTATGCGGGTTGTGCTACTGCTTTGGGTCTTGCATCATCGTGATGCGGTGCGTAGGGCTGCAGGTTTACATCAGGAGGCTTTTGGTATGGCATGGCAGCAGCTGTACGCGAGTCAAAAAGAGAAGAAGTACAATCAAAGGCTCCTCCTTCGCTTTGGATTGCCCCGGGCTGCCCGTCAGGTGTAATGCAAGCCTGTTCGGCATAACACCCCTGCAGAAGCAAGGATTCGAAGGTCGAACCAAGGGTTTGCATCGATCAACGTGCTGCTACTTGCATGTACATGTTTGCTTACTCTTGTTTGCATATCGGAGGCTCACACAAACTTCCTGTCAGTGTCTTGCACTATGCAAGGCTCGCATGTCGATGCTGTCCGAAGAGCCGTTGAACCGCAGCGCCGAGGATCCCCACGCTGCGGAGTAATGCAGGGGCCGGTCAGGAGCAGGTCGCAAGCGTATCTGTCGCAAGTTCGGAAACAGTCTACAAGCCTCAGTGGAACCGGTGGCGCCACCTGTATTACCGCGTTTCAGGATTCCTGATCTGCATGGTTCTCTCACCACAAGAGCGCCTGCGGACAAAATTGCTCCGTGCTTGTTTGCATGATTCCATTGGCTGAGTTCGGATAAGTCCGCAAGCTCAACCCTTAGCTTCGGCAGTCATGATACTACCGGTTATTGGCTGTCTTCGCCGCTGAAGTTTCCGCATCAGACCTGGTCTTACATGTAGAGGTGAGGCCACATGTGCCATTGGGCGTTCAGACAGACACTAGGGGACGCCAAAATAGCCTCAGCCTAAACACAGCGAGGACCCCCCAACACAAGGTACCGGCACTAGTGTAGAACCTTAAACTGCCCCCTTGAAACCCTATTCCCCCTTATTTCTTACAGCGGCCCCTTGAGGTTGCGATCCCTGAACCCTAAGCCACCCCCCCAAAAAAAAGCATAATCTAAGCCGTCAAGGCCACAAGCTTCAGAAGCCGAACCCCGGAGCCTTTTCGACCCGGAGAGCCCAAGCCCCAAAACCCCAAAAGACGGGAATGCACGGTTTAGGGTTTACTGTTGAGGGTTTAGGCTTTAGATTTTTAACAAAAGACCCCCCCAGAAAGCCAGAAACCCCCTGAGGCTGCGCGCATATGCGCACGACACCCAGCACGAGAAGATCATCCGCGCCTGCGCCGGGGGCTCAGCCTTCGGGAAGGTATGTTTTTAGCGGTTTGGAAGGGTTTTCTTACAGTTTAGGAGGGTTTATCATAGGCTACGGGTTTTCAGGGTTGCTGTGGGTTTCAGATACGGTCGAAGGTTTCGGGTTAGTTGCTACATTGTGATCCTTGTTCGGTAAGGGAGCGAAGGCATTATTCGGCCCGACAATGCCAAGATGAGCTACAAGCGGCCCTTATGGTAATCCTTGTAGCAAGCCTTGTACCAGTATAGTAATCCTCCTGGTAGTCCTGATAGCAAGCCTTATTGTACCCTTTAACGCTGGCAGCATAACCCTACTACAAAGAAGCCTCGACTCATTAAAACAGTCTCTGATGCATCCCCATGAGGCCCTTGCATTGGCCATGATGATGTTCCGGAAGGAGGAGGAAGCAGAGCCCTTGATCCAGTCTGGGCCTTGGCTGGCACCGGTTCTGCCCCAAGAGCTCCAGGAAGGACGTAGTTTCGTAGGAGCGTTTAGTGTCGCCGGGAGAGGAAGTTGGCGTTTGGCTTAGATTGCGTTGCTTCCGACAGAGTGCAACTACTATAGGGGCTTCAATAATAGCCTAGATTCATTTCGGGGAATCCTCATTATATCTATACTAAAACATGCCCTAAAACCCTATTCTATTCGTAACGGTTCTTTAGTATAATACCGTTATAGATCCCTTATAGTAGCCCTTATAGACCCCTTGAAAGGAACCCGAAATTCGAATTATTACGCCCCCTACATTAACCCGTCTACTCAGGGAGATGCTGCTGGACAAGGATGCGATTTTGCGCTACGGCGGCTGCTTTGCCATCGCTCTGGCTTACGTCGGCACCCTGAGCTTGCGTTGTTTGGGGTCTGCGCTCTGAGCTACCGGAGTTTCTGGGTTGTGCTTTGGGATAATTTTTAATATCCTTCATTTCCTTATAAAGGGAATCTACTCATAAATAATTTTCAAAGGGTTTAAAGCACAACCCAGGTTTCCCCTGACTTGGACGTAGACCCTTCAAGTCTGAACCCTGACTCGCAGTTTTCGTGTTTTCGAGGTCGGCACCTCGCAGAATGCCGCCATCCGGAAGCTGCTCCACATCTCGGCAGCTTGCTTACAGGGAACTAGTCTAATTCGCCGCTCGCATTCGGCGACTTCAGCGCTCAACTCAAGTCTCGCAGTGGCCTTGAATTGCCACTGAGAAACGCCCTCTTGGTTTTCATGTCAGACTTATACACTCAAGCTAAGTTGTACCACATAGCATTTGTTTGCAGCCTTGTTGTCCTCCTCGTTATCATCATGATGGCCATCACCGCAACAACTATGAACGCAATCATCAAAACCTCCTCACACGCCTCTTTCTCCACTTCCCAAGGCCCTAAGCAGCAGCATCAACGCCACGTCATCTTCATATCAAACACAAGTTCTCATGATCTTAAATGATCTTCATGATCAGAAGCCTGCCGCACGCTTGCTCAAGGTGTCAGATGTTTCGGATGACGTGCGCCGAGCCGCCGTGATGGCGTAGCTTCCTCAGAGAGCCCGTGGTCAGACGTCTTGTTCCGAAGGTGTGCAGGATGTCGAGTGTTGGGATTTAGGGTAGGCCAGCTGACGGCTACAACAGCGCGTGCATAGTCGAATCAGCAGGGCAGCTGTCGCTCCAAAGATTGACAGGCTCGGCTTTGTGATGTGCAACGTGCCAGAGCAGCTGCCTGGAGTGGTGAAACTCTTGGCCGAGAGCAAGCGCCCCAGGATGCACCTGCCGTGTCCACCGCGAGATCTTTCCCTGGCCACAGGGTTGCTATATGGGATCTATAAGGGTACCATCATATACGGGCCTGAATAATTACCTATACTATCTTAGGGGTTCCTTCTTTTAAGACCACAAAAGGCCCAAGCGTTTTAATTAGAGCCGAGTGCGCAACTTCCCAGTAGGATCACCCAATGTCGCTGAGGGTGTCCCTCGTGGACACTGTTGAACAATGCCGAGCCGCGACCCGCCAACTGCTCTTACAAACAGAGCTGGCAATGGACGTGGAAGGTGTCGATTTGTGTCGAACAGGCCCAGTGGCTTTGATCCAGCTCTGCACACCCAAAGGGGACGTCTTTCTCTTCGACATCACCACGCTTGGGCATGATGCTTTCAGTTTGGGACAGTTGAGCCTCGTACTGGAGTCTGAGCGCATCTGCAAGGTGATCTACGATGGTCGCGCAGATGCTGACGCTCTTTGTCATCAGTTTGGGGTGCAGCTTCGCCATGCCTTTGACCTGCAGGTTCAGCATGCCTTGCGCTACAGCAATACGAATGACAGGTATGTGAAGGGTCTGCAAAGGTGCCTTGATGACTCTGGCGTTGTGGCACACTTTGAGAGGGCCAAAATCGAGCGCATCAAAGAGGTTGGGAAGCGCCTGTTTGTGCCCGAGCTTGGAGGACGATCCAGCGTCTGGATGGAGCGCCCGCTGCCGCAAGCCTTGGTGGACTATGCTGCATGCGATGTCAAATATCTCCTGCGAGTCAAGGCTGCGTGGGCAGGCTCCACGTCGCAAGCTGTCCGGAGGGTGACCCGGGAACGACTGCGAGGCGCCATGACTGCACAGGTTCCGGCCAAGGGCGCGCACATGAGCGTCCGCGACTTTTCCTTGGGCCCACATGCGCAGTACCTGGGCAGGGAAGCTGTGGCCCAGCCGCGATGCTTCAAGTGCGGCAGCACAGGGCATCTGGCCAGGTCCTGCCCCCTGCACGATGACGTCTTCGACCTTGGCTACGGGAGTGACCGCATCTACCACGACTCTCCGCAGCACTACTCTGACTACTCTCCACCTCTCACTTTTCGGGACATAGCTCCGGATGGCTACATTGACTCCTCCGGCAACGAGTGGTGAGTGAGCAGCTACAGCAAGATCCTTGGAATGTGCAGGGAAGGTTCCACGCTATTAGGCTATGGAGGTGAGCCAGAACAGCAGCCACAACGGCAGGGCTCCCATCAAAACTTTTTTCGCATTACTTTCGGAGACCGCTCCACGATGTGGAAGTGTACAGTGTCTGACGGGCTTCTCGTTCACTTCACCAGGAGCGGGCGCAAGGACATGTGTAGACCGCAACTCGAAACCAGGTTGATGGAACATGCAGCTTGTATGCATATCCAAATGTAAGCGTATACATGTGTATCTATGTGTGTGTGAATATGTATATACATATATACATATATATATACTTACATGTGTATATATGTATATATGTATATATGTATATATGTATATATGTGTATATGTATATATGTATATATGTATATATGTATATGTGCATGCACACACATACATATATATATATATATATATATATGATACATACATACATACATGTATACGTGCACATACACAGCACGTCTCCTCGTCGTCGAGAGCCGAGCTCGGGTCTCCTATGAAGCCCAGCCCTGAGGTTGTCGGGCATTTTGTAGGTGGTTGTCAAAACTATGGTCCCTTTTTGGGTCCCTATTATAGTACGGCACCTATTATTCAGGGTACCCGAAAGGGACCCAAATTTTGACAGTATAGTCATAGTATAGTCATAAAAAGGAACGCTTAAGGAACAGAATTAGTAACACTCTAAACTCGAAGCCGGGAGGTCTGAATCGCCAATCTGATCCACCTACAAACGAACTGGCAAAGCCTCTTTCTGATGTTACAACCCTCCTCTACCATACTAAAGACTATACAACATACTATACTAAATACTGTACTCTACTATACTCTGCTATACTTTATACCACAGCCCTAAACCCTAAACCCTATACTTTAAACCACAGCTTTACAAGCAACTCCCGGCTCCCTCCAAGGCTACAACCCTCACGTGCGCTATGCCGCGGCCATGGCATTGGGCATCGCCTGCGCAGGGACCGCGCTGCTCGAGGACTGTTGAAGCTGATAGGATTTGGGGGGTTTCCGAAAATAGGGGACCCTAATATAGTACCCTAAATAGTATAGGATCCTTATAATAAGGACCGCAAAATAAGGTACCCCTAAGTTTCGGAAACTCCCATTTGGGAGTGTCCGCAAATTAGGATACCCTATTTTGGGGTCCTTATGATAAGGATCCTGCTATTTCAGGTACCACATAAGGTCCCTCATTTTCGGAACCCCCCCCATTTTGGCCCACGGTTTTTGAGGTTTACTGGGGCTTAGGGTTTAGGGTTGGTCTAAGTTTTGAGGATTGATTAAACTTAGGGTTTGAGGTTTCGGCGCGGGGTTTAGAGTTTAGAATGCCGAGCCCGTTTTTTGCGGGAATCTCCGGCATTTGGAGTTCCATGTTGTGGTGTGCTGGGTCGGTATAGTAGAGGGTCATGGCTTCGGCAGCAATCTGCTCAGAATCAACTTTGAGCTGTGCTGCTAGGACAGGAACGACGACCACAGCTTAATTGAGTACGGTACATGACATGGAAAGATCGAGACTAAACATGCATCGGGGTCATTTTGAATCTGTTGTCCGTTCTTTTTGGGCCAGACATTGTGGTCTTGGCAGCGTGCTACTTTTAGCAAGCAGCGGTGCGGGGAATGTGGAATGTTGTGCGCATTGCAAAGAGATATTGTCGGCACTCTCCCATGGGGTCTTGCCGATCGAGAGCCAGGCACACAACCTTCTGCAGCCGCTGATGTCTGACCCCTCGGATTTCGTGAGGCCAGCTGCGTCATGCTCAGCTCTACGATGACGGTTGCAACTTGCAACACTACTACTATGACCGATCTACAACAGCAGCAACAACGACTACTACTACCTCTCTTCCGCTTCCACTACCACTTGCTCTTCCTCTTCTTCTTCCTCTTCTTCTTCCTCTTCTTCTTCTTCTTCCTGATCCTCTTCCTCTTCCTCCTGATCCTCTTCCTCTTCCTCTTGCGCCTACTCCTACTCCCGCTCCCAATCCCAGTCCTACACCTACTCCTTCTCCTTCTTCTTCTTCTCCTTCTCATGCCCCTTCCACTCCTACACTTGCTCAAACTCCTCCTCTCCAACTACACCTACCCTGCTTACTCCTACTCGTCTCTACTCCTCCTACTCCCGATCCCAATCCCACTCCCACTCCCACTGCTACTGCCACTGCACTGCCACTGCCACTGCCCCTACTTGTACTGCTACTGCTGCTGCTACTGCTGCTGCTACTGCTACTGCTACTGCTACTGCTACTGCTACTGCTACCGCTACCGCTACCGCTACCGCTACCGCTACCGCTACCGCTACCGCTACCGCTACCGCTACCGCTACCGCTACCGCTACCGCTACCGCTACCGCCACCGCTACCGCTACCGCTACCGCTACCGCTACCGCTACCGCTGCTGCTGCTGCTGCTGCCGCTGCTGCTGCCACATTGCCATAATTCATAACTATAGTTCCTGCTGTGCTGCTCTTGCTCCTGCTACTGCTACCTCCTCTTCAGTTGGTACCATGGCTGCTGCCTCAACTGCTTCGTTCTGTGTCCACAGGCAAGGTGCTATCATCGTTGGGGGCTCAGATGCATCTTACGAGACCGTGACACCGACTGCTGTTGTTCCCTTCTGAGGCCATGGGCCTTCTTTACATGCAGACATCCCCTGGAAAGACCGAGCGCGTGAAGGAGCTACGTGCCTTGAGTGAGAATTTTTTTTTTACATCGCTGGTGGCGCGGGTTTGGTCCTTCTTCACTAATCGGTTATAGATTTGGGTACATCGGAGTTTCACAGCTCCTGCATCTCCGATGCGCTGCGAAGTAATGGCTGGAAGGCGACTCTGCCCTGCAATGAACCGTTTCGTGCTGGACGACAGGAGTTCCGCGAGAAACTGCAGAAGGTCATTGGCGACAAGCACGAGGACGTGCCGGAGCTCGGAGTGTGATCCAGGGTTACGGTAATGGTGTAAACTATGATAGGGGCCTTAATTCTCTATACAATTTTGGTGGGGCTCTTTACTGTAAATATAGTATAATGGGTACCAAAAACCATATTCTAACTAATAAGGCCCCTATAAATCTGGGGCTAGAGCTGTTGACGAAGGCTTCCTGGCTGTCGAGCTGGGACTTTCGAATGTCGGCGCGTGCGAAGGTCATGACCCGCTTCGGGGCGATTCTGGCGCATGGCATCATGGACGTCTCGGACTCAGACTGCCAAGTTGCCTAGGATGCCCAGTAGTACCCTTATTCCCTTTTTGCAGTCCTAGGTTCCTTATAAAGTTACCCAATACCAAAAAGAGAGGCCTTTTTATTCTTAGGTTACTGGGTATCCTAGTTGCCGAATCTGCGAAACGTGCGCATAGAAGACTCCTCTCCCAACCCGAGCCGCCGGGAGCCTGCATCCCATTAGGGCTCAAGATGAACTTAGGCTTATAGTAGAAGCCCAAAAGTTGGAAACCCAAGAGCCTCAATCCTTAAGAGTCATGTATAGGGAATCCCAGCACTATTTGGCCTTAATCCGGTTTCCAACTTTATGGGGTCCACTGTAGGCGCAACTTCTTCGGAACTCCTCGCAATCGGTGGGGTGTAGGGTTTGAGGTTTCAGCCGGCCAAACCCAGCGATTCGGGCCTAGAGGTGAAAGCTCAAGACCCGAAGCACTAATCCCGAATCCCTAAACGAAAAAGCAGCCTGAACGCTAAAGACCTTGAAACGTGGAGAGCACAAGTCCCGTCCTACGGAGTGGGACTCCAAGAAAAACCCTAGGGTTTAGGGTTTGGGGTTTAGGGAATCTTGCGAAGCTTGGAATGGTAGTGTTTATGGTTTGGAGCTTTGGGAATTCAGTGAAGCACGGCAGCCTTTGTGAGGGTTTTGATATTATATACGTGGAACCAATGTTCCGTTTAGTGTTGTTACTCTTCTTACCCTAAACCCTAAACCCCTAAACCCTCCCTAAACCCTAAACCCTAAACCCTTTACAGATACTTTGGCATGTTTGTTGTTGCGACTGGTACATCTCTCCAACCCCTAGGGCCAGTCCCCAGGACAGGGGCGGGGGGGGGGGTTAGCCCTCGAGTTCATAAGAAGCCTGAATAGCCAGAAACGCAGACAGATTTTGTGGTTCTGGGCTAGAGTTTGATACATCATTGGCATTAGTTGTAGCATATTTTCATATAAAAAGTACAATATGAATGCTGGTTCATTCGACCCCTTTGTTGCATCCTGCGCTGCAAGGAGCCACATGGGCCTCCTCCCAAGCCCAGCTCAAAGTCCTACAGCAACCTACTTAACAACCCCTAAACCCCCACATGTCCGAAATCCAAAGTAAAAGCCCAAACGCTAAATCCTGGACCCCACACCCGAAACCCTATACCCTGAGCCCAAAACCCGAAGCCCAAAACCCTAAAGACCCAACGCATCCCAGGCCGGTGGCCGCAACTCCTGCGCCTCTCTCTTTTCGAAGTCGGGGGTGAGGGCCCTGGGGAGCTGTGGAGTTCAGGGTTTGGGCCCTCCTTCTTAAAGGATCATGGGACTTAGTAACTAGGGTTATAATCAAGGGCTCTTTAAAGGGATCTATACGATTTCGAAAAGGGATCTATGGGGTTTAGGGTTTAGGGTCTACTTAAAGGATCATGGGACCTAGTAACTAGGGTTATGATTAGGGTGACTCTACTTGTAACTACCTATACCCCCAAATAAGGTACTTATAACCTTACTTACTAAGTCCCATGATCCTCCAAGTTTGGCAACAACACGAATGGGAATAAGACGAATAATAGTGTTAACAGGCACCACAAGAGTACGAATCGAATTAACTGTATTGATAGTAGTAGTAAGTCCGATAACAACAGCAAGCAGACTGACGCTGATGATGATCATGTAAGAGTAGCAGTTCTCTGCAACTCGCAAGACCTCTTCTGCAGGTCCTGCGCCGCGGCGCGGCAATCGGATTCTGCCTCTTCACTCAG